TTATTGTATGTGCATAAATGAAAAAAAAAATTATTGTATGTGCATAAATGAAAAAAAAAATTATTGTATGTGCATAAATGAAGTTAATGCATAGCAAAGAATTTAATGAAGCATTTTTATGCATTTATTGAAACAGTTTCTGGTGGGCCCATATGACATATGTTGCCCCAAAGCAGCCATAAGAATTTACTAAATGCATAGATGAAAAAAAGTATATTTTATTGTATATGCATAAATGAAGTTCATGTATAGTAAAGAATTTAATGAATGCATTTTTATGCATATAAACTATTTATACATGAGTTTTGTAATGTTAAATAAGTTTTCAGTGGAGAACGTCCTCATAACTTAATCGTTATTTTATCTTTATAAAGGGTTTTTCATATTAAAAATTAGAAATATAAAATTCAAATCCCACTCCCAACATCTAATAAAAAAAGTTTTCGGTGTATGGTAATTGAATATATGTAATTGGTTGGTATAGCTGCAAAATATTTTTATTTAAACTTACAAAAGTAGGATCGGTGCTATTAAGGATTCCGGCACCCCCGGACGCGAAGCTAACGCCGGCATCGAAGGAGGCATCGTTCTTTTCTACCAGTGCCAGAAAGGGTGGTGAAGTCGGTAAACCAAATTTCTCAGCTGCCCCAAAATTTCGAAATAAGATTATTTAAAAATAATAATAATAATAATAAATAAATAAATAAAACCTCAAAGTCTCAAGCATCATGACAGAAAATTTGACCGACCATATGTTAGAAAAGGAAAGGCAAAAATTATATGGATTTCAGGACAAATATATAGGAGTATGGTTTTTTTTCAATCCGTTCAATCTTTATCATTAATTCATTTAGAGTAATAAAATTGAACTTCAAAATGATTTTTTTTTTTATTTTGATTGCACAATGAGAGGTAATTATTTTTTATCTTTTATCTCATTCTACCTGCGTACCATGCAATTCGAATTCAGAATCTCTTACTTTTAAAGGAAAGAGATGATCACTGAATTATTTAAGTTATTGACAACTTCGAGATGATGTTAAGCAAGGGAATATATAATAACAAGACGTTTTTCTTTTTTAAATGATTTCTCGTGAAAGAAATATCTTGAAATAAAAAAGAGTTTGGCTATGGGTACAGTTATTGTGACTAATAATATTGTTATGGTCACAAAAAATTGTAAATTATTATTTTTAAAATTATTTATTTAATTTGATTTAATTAATAAAATAATTAATAATTGTAATTAATAATTAATAAAATAATTAATATTTATTAATTAACAAATTAAAATCAGTTAACAAATTGGGTGATTGAGTGCTTCTTATTTTTGTAGAAGGGCAGGAGTACCCCTTGTGCTCCATTAAATAAATAAAAAACTTTGTTTTGCTGATCAAAAAAAAAAAAACAAATTAAAATCAGTTAACAAATTGATTTTTTAGACATTATTTAAAAAAAAAAACTAAAATTTTATCAACCTTAACAATATTGATGGTTACAATAATAATCACACCCCTCAACCATAGTTTTATTTGTAAATATTATTTTCTTGTAAATAAAAGATCATTTATTGAAAATAATAAAAGTATTGTATAATTTATATTGTATTAGACTTTACAACATAAATTATTAAATAAAAAATGAGCGCTTACATTAAAAATGTGTCTCTAATCCATTAGTTGATATTTTACAATTCGAGAGAAAAACAAAATTCTCAATTGAAAATATATATCATATAATGAGATGCATGATAAGCGAATGACAACTAGACATTTCATAGAGGAGCTGTTAAACAAAAAGACATTTTCATAAAAGAACGAAATCACATAATTTGGAGTATCATGCAAATTCGAGTGATTAAAATGAAACGTGTTAGTAATTACTTTCATTACATGTTAAAATATTTTAGTAGCTGTTATATCATGTCGGTTCTATATTGAGTATTGTATGGTGCAATTTTTCAAATTGAACAAACTAAAGGGAAAGAATAAGAAAAAAAAAGTGGGAAGTTAATGCATGGCTGCGTATATTTTTGTAAGTTTATAATTGAGAATTCCGGTTTAATCATGGCTTTTAATGTCAAAGATTTGAAATTTGTAATCGAAGTTAGTTTGTGAAATTGTGGTGTTAAAACCACAAATATATCAACACTTACATGCAAAATCTGCTGCGTTCTTGCCATTGGAGAACCGTCCGGTGGCTTCTTTGGTGGGGAAATCAATGCCGTTGCGTGGGAAATTTGCTTTAGCATAAGAAACGGGAAGGTAATTGTTGTTGCCTACATCCAACAGGGAGTCTCCGATGAAAAAAATGGCCGGCACACTTTGAGCCTCTGAAAAAGAAGAGCCTGAAAAGAAGAAAAGGAAGAACCACAAGAAGAATGACAAAAGATGGTTCGCCATATATTGTGCTGAAAAAAACTCTTCTTTTCTTGGGAGGGCTCTTGGTGTGTTATCTGTGGGAGAGAATGAAGGGTTTAAGCCCCCTTTTATAGTGGGAAAAATAGTACTTTCGTTTTTCTTATCTTGGTGGTTTGGGACGTAGGGTCGGACAGGGAATATACAACACTAAATGGAGAAGGAAGAAAAAAAAATGTTTTTCTTTTGTATTTTGAGAATAGTGAGTTGTCTTTATCTTTAAAATCCATAAATAGGGTTAAGTTTTTTTTTTTTTTTTTAATTTTGTTGGGAA